GTCTAGACATTTCATATAAATAAATTTGTTTTGTGACTGGCTTCTTTCACTTATATGATATGTTCAAGGTTCATCCATGTTGTAGCATGTGTCAGTACCTCATTCCTTTTTATGGCTGAGTAACGTTCCATTGTATGGATACACCTTATTCATCAGTTGCTAGATTCATGGGTTATTTCTACATTTCCGCTATTATGGGTAATGCTGCTAAGAGTATTCATTACAACTTTTTGTGTGGACATGTTTTCAATTCCCTCGGGTATATAGTTGATTGCTGGGTCATGTGGCAACTCTATGTTCAACTTTTTAAGAAACTAACAGACTGTTTTCCACAATGTCTGCATCATTCTCTGTTCCTACCAGTAATGTATGAGGGTTCCAATTTTTCACATTCTTGCCAACACCTAGTGTTTTTCCTTTTCTTTATTATAGCCATCCTAGAGGGTACAAAGTTGTGCCTCAATGTGAGTTTTGTTTTGTTTTGTTTTTAAGAGACAGGGCTCTTACTATGTTGCCCAGGCTGGCCTCGAACTCCTGTGTTCAAGTAGTCCTCCTGCCTCAGCCTCCCAAGTAGCTGGAACTACGGTGCCTCTCTCTCATTGTGGTTTTGACGTTGAGCATCTTTCATGTGCTTATTGGCCATTTGCGTATCTTCTTTGGAGACATGTTTATTCAGATCCCTTACCCTTTTTTTCCTTTCTTTTTTCTCTTTGTTATAATTATTTGCTGATTAAATATTTCAAACATAGGGAAAATTATGGAGAATAATGTAACAGTCACCTGATCAACTGCTCCAATGAACATTAACTTTGGCCATATTTGCTCTGAGGTGGTGGTGTTTTTTAAAAACTTTATGTTTAGAGATGAGGTACTTATGGTGGATTTTATCACAGCTGAAGAACCCAAAATTAAGGGAACATCAGTAATTTATAAAGGGCTGCAAGCAAATCTGCCCAACCTTTTCCCCAGGGCAATACATTCTTTTTATCTGGACAGTAATCATTTCTCCCTTTTGCTCTGGAGATAGACACTATCTCTAGGCTGTTTTGAGGATATTCATCCTTGAGAAGATAATCTGGAACAAAAGGGCAGTTAGTGTCCTACTCAAGATGTGCAAATACATGAGAGACCCATGGAGAATTGTCTCTCAGCACAGGTTAAGATTCTTGTTCTAAAATTTTTTTGTATGTGGGTGTCTTACTGGTTCAGTACAATTTGTTGAAAAGACTATCCATTTTCTATTCAGTTGCTTCAGTAGCTTTGTCAAAAATCAATTAACCATATACGTGTGAGTCTATTTCTGAACTCTCTGTACTGTTCCATTGATCTACATGTCCTTCCTTTTGCCACTACCATAGTGTCTTGATTACTATAGCTCATGAGTTAGCAAATGTAAGCAAAGCATGGGCTACATACAATTCCTGCTGTATACTCTTTCGTGGTTTCCTTTTTCAACA